TTGGATGCGGTTTTCACGAATATATTGTGGTATGCTTCAGTTATGCTTTAGTGTTTGTTTCATGTCAATCGGTTCATAAATAAAAAAGTTACGTCAAATTAAAGAATCACGTCGAACACTATCTATCTATACATATAATAAAATTGTAGAAAAGTGCTGTCTGTACATTGAAAATAAAAATAAAAAAAATAGCAGGGGCTATTGTTATGTCGATGTCGAACCCAAAAATGTAACTAACTTTTTTTTTGTCTGTTTGTCTGTTTGTCTGTTCACGCTAATCTCAGAAATGGCTTATAAATATATATATATTTAACAGGGTGCGGAAAAGGTGATAGTGGTTTTATTCCTCAGATTCCTCTCATTCCAAAAAATTTTCCGTTTATTTTTAAACGAATTCAGTTTCCAGTGAGCCTATGTTTCGCCATGACAATTAATAAAGCTCAAGGTCAGACTCTAAAAGTTGTGGGTATAGATCTAAGTATCAGCTGTTTTTCGCACGGTCAATTGTATGTGGCTCTGTCCCGTGTTAGCAATCCCAGCAGCCTGTATGCTTTCACCCCCGATGGCCATACGTCTAATATTGTATATAGAGAAGCATTACAGTAAAGTAGAGAAGCATTACAGTAAAATGACTGTGATTATGATCCAAATCTAAAATAAAAATAAGTAAATATTAAAAAAAAACGCTGCTCATAGTCACTATTCTACGCGAACGAAGTCGCGGGCACAGCTAGTTTTATTATATGTATAGATTTATCTTTATTATTTCTGAAATTGGTAAACAGGTTTTTCATGAAGATTTGTCAAATAAATTATCTAACTAAAATTGTAGGTTTTAAGCGAACAAAACAATATCTAATTTACTTAAAAAAAAATCCTGGTCTCTGGTTGCATGATATTTATCTAAAATGATTAGATTTTGATGCAAATATTAGATAAAATTTGCAGATGTCTTTTTATAATAATTTGTAATGGTCATATTAATATATTAATAGTTGTTGTGGTGGCCGGGAGGTTTAAGACGCCCGCTTCTCATGCATGAGGGTGCGGGTTCGAAACCTACCAACTACAAGTACCAATGTGACTTTTTCCGAGTTATATGTACTTTCTAAGATTATTTAGACACCACTGACACACGGTGAAGGAAAAACATCGTAAGGAAACCTTGACTTATAATTTCTAATATTGAAATCGCCAACCCGCATTGAGCAAGCATGGTGATTAATGCTCAAACCTTCTCCGTGCGAGAAGAGGCTTTGCTCAGCAGTGGGCACTTATAGGCTGTTGATGATGATGATATTAATATTAATATTTTTAGCTCATACACTGACATAATATGGTGAAGGAAATCATAATGCGAGAATGTTGTTCAACTTCATGGCTCTGCTTCATTGATCTCTAGTTAAGTTATACACTTATTAGGCTACGATGGGATAACATACGCTGTGAGCTGTGGGGTATAAAAGTCCCTAAAATTAAAAAGGAAATAAAAAGAACCATGAGGAACCCCTGACTTGTAATATCTAATTATAAGTTTGAAATCACTAATCCACCTGGAGCGAGCCTACTGATTAATGCTCTTTCCTTCTGCATGTGAGAAGAGACCATTGCTCAGCAGTGGGCACTTAAAAGCTGTTGATGATGCTGTTAATTGTATAATATGTTTTCCTTTCTTATTTTCAGATGTATTCATCCGAACATTCACAAAAGCAGAACTACCGCAGTTTGAAACTCTAGCCGTGTCTGTTCCGAAGAAACATGTCTATCATGTAGAGCTGAACAGGCCTAAGAAGTCTAACTCTTTTACTAGGACTATGTGGCAGTAAGTATTATATTATGTTATGATCAATGAACAGCCTTTGACAGTACTCTGCAACTCAATGTATGCGGACTTCCCATAAATATATTTTTGATATGTCTTCGAGGGCTTATCTACACTTTTTTCTTTAATAACATTGCCCCACACTATTGACTACCTGGGTGCTTACTCTTCAAATCAATCTCAATGTCAATGCAATTTCAATCCAATAAAATCTCAATAAATATTCAATGTCAACACTATACAACCCCTATCGTAGCTGTTAAAATGGCATTCAGAGTACGGAATATAATGCCAAACTCAATACCAGTTAGTTCATTCAATGTCCACGCAATACGGATGCAATGGGCGCTAGTGTTGCAACTCAAGAGTACGAAATTTCACAATATCAATGTTGATCGATCGGAATTGGATTCAATAGTAAGCCCCCTGGTCCCTGGCAAGTAAGTAGATCCTTAGTTGATTGTTGATTCTTAAAATACAGCACCCGGGGTAAAAGTAGGTTTTTAGGGTTGGTTTTTACCGTCCGGTTGAGGCGAGAGGGAGTGTCAGACTCTGACTAAAAACCATCCTATTCCTACTCCTGTACTTGGTGCCGGAGCTTCGATAACCCGTTAAGTCTTCCACAGCCTTGTATCGACATCGTCCCTGTTGGACCCTACTGTGAAGACGGTTTAGGGACAAATATATTTGACTGGTGTTGCAGATGTCCATGGGTGACGCTTACCGAGCGGACTAGCAGCGTAATTGTACCATTGGGCGTTGACTCCACTCATTTACCCTCTATACTATTAAAATATATTCAACATCATTTATGAAATCACTTATATTGATTGTGTAATCTCAAACATGTCTGTTATATTGTTTTTCTGTATGTTTTCAGAGAAATAAATAACTGCTTCACGACACTGAGCTTGATTCCTGAATGCAGAGTGATTGTGGTGTCTGGGCAGGGCAAACATTTCTGTGGTGGTGAGTGGTCTTCAATTTAAATCTATAACTACAATTTAATCAACAAAAAAGTTACACTGATAAAAAATAGATGTAGTAGAGTTATCTGTATTTTTGAGTGTGAGAGAGCCATGCTTCGGCACGAATAGGTCGGCTCGACCGGAGTGATACCACGGCCGAGCAGAAAACCGACTTGAAACAACACTTGCGTTGTGTTTCGGCGTGTGAGTGAGATTACCAGATACCCAATTACCCCATCCCCAGTCTCCCCAACCCTCGATTCCTCAACATTCCTTATATTCCTTATTCCCAAAAGGCCGTAACACGTCTGGTGTTCCAGGTGTCCATGGGCGACGCCGATTGCTTTTCATCAGGTGATCCGTCTGCTCGTTTACCGGGTATTCCATCATCGCTTAACACCAGGCGAGATGGTAGCATAACGTCGACCTATAAAGTATATATATAAAAAAAATAGACCAATTCTTTGTGTGACCCACAAAATATTGTTCAAGGTCTATCCTCATTCCTCAATATTTACTCCATTAATAACAAATATCATGTAATATTTCAGGTATTGAGTTGCAGAGCTTGGTACAGCTAGCTGCTGAGGCTGATGAACTTGAAGACGTGGCGAGGAAAGCTCGCTACCATTACAACTTCATCAAATATGCTCAGGTATAGACTAGTACTACTAGTTAGCTATTGCAAACCTCTGGGTTTGTTTCAGCATTTCTTTTCAGAGTAGTTAGTTAGGAAATGTCGGTATCATCGTTAGCTTGAAAAATTGACGTGTAAAAGTGCTGCCTTGTAAAGCTACAAAACAAGTGAATTTATTGCTGCAAATGGACATTTGCAAAAATAAATTCAATTGTTTCACTTACTTTGTGAGTGAGCAAATACTGCTAAGCTATGCTTGCTGAAAAAATGTGGAAGCGAATTAGAGGCAGCTTCAAGCCACTATTTATTTTTATATTATGGAGTAGAGTGGCAAACGAGCAGACGGATCACCTAATGGGGAAATCATTTTTTTGCTCGTCGCAAAATGTAGAAAGGGGTATGTTTAGCCAATCACAGCAGCTGTCAAATATTGAACATCCAATACTGTGGCACTAGCTGATCCCCTATTGGACGAAGAACGAGAGGTGCTCATTAACGCTACCTGGTGAGCAAAAATATTGTAGGCTATTCACACTCTTCGGATGACCTAATTCATTAAACACTTGATGGTTAGCAATCGACGCGACCCATGGACACCTGCAACACCAGAGCAGTTGACGACGAAGAAGAAGAGAAGAACACGACAAATGAACAGTTTGGTCTTTCAAGTAGAGCAATTTGGGTGCCTGGGCTATTTCGATAGGCCTAGGATATAGGACTCCTCAACATTTGTTGTCAGAGTTTGCCATAATGTCATGCTTACCTAATAAAAGATTCAAGTTTATTTGAAATCAGCTCCAAGAGCAGGAGTAGGAACGGGATGATTTTTAGTCAGTACAGTAAGACTCTAACACCCTCGCCTAACCCAAGATGGAAGAAATCATTGGATGATTATCCCCCTTCAAAGAAACAAAATGGGTATTTTACTCTGCTATAAAAGAGCGCTACTTCTTCACTAATAGGTAACATGATTGACATGGAATACATGATATTTCAGGAAACAATATCTTCGCTAGAGGAGTGTGTGAAGCCCGTGATCACAGTGACCCACAACGCCTGCATCGGCGCCGGCGTCAACTTGATCACTGCTGCCGATATGAGGTTAGACGGGACCAACATTATGACAATCATATTTTGTTCTATTTACGAACTATTTTACAGCTCCTATCGCCAACTAAGTATTCATCTAACATGCTGTGACAATAAATCTGACTTCTTTTTGTGGAATATAAGCCGGTAAACGAGCGGACGGATCACCTGATGGTAAGCAATCGGCGTCGCCCATGACTGAGAAATTAATTGGGACCGGAGACCGGGAGAGTAATGCTTCGGTACGAATGGGCCGGCTCGACCGGAGTGATACCACGGCCTCACAGAAAACCGACGTGAAGCAACGCTTGCGTTGTGTTTCGTCGTGTTAGTGAGGTTACCGGAGGCCCAATTACCTTCCCCTTCCCCATTCTCTCCAATCCCTGAAACCCCATCGATCCTCAAACTACTAATTCCCAAAAAGCCAGTAACGCACTTGTAACGCCTCTGGTGTTCCAGGTGTCCATGGACGACGCCGATTGCCTACCATCAGGTGATCCGTCTGCTCGTTTACCGGCTTATGCCATAAAAAAAATATCCTTTTACATAAAGGACTGTATGTCCACAGATACTGTACAGAAGACTGTTGGTTCTCAGTGCGAGAGGTGGATGTCGGTCTTGCACCCGATGTAGGCACTCTACAGAGATTGCCTAAGGTGAGTCTAAATAAAAAACTTACATCACTAACGCAGGATCCCCAAAAATAAAACAAATATAACAGATGACGAACCAGTCGCATGCAATTGGGATGATGACAGGGTAAATCTAATTAGTCCGTAAGTTAGGTAATGAAAATATATTAGACACGTATTTTTTTATTTTGTCGTATAATAAAACAATACTTAGATAAAACGAATCAAAGTTTACGAGTGGAGGCTAAAACGTCATTTCTACGTATAAAATGTACATAGAAGTGACGTCACGCGACATTTCAAATCAATATATCGTCGAAAGTATTCGTTTCTGTAAGAAAATAAAAAATACGTGTCTAATGATTTTAAATAATCTACCAGACGGACATTAAAATATAAATTAAGCATCTACATTATTCAAATATAATTTTTATTGAAACTTTAACTAACTACAAAGATGTCTAGTACTATAAATATGGTTCGATTCCGACGTACAAATAAAACTGTTTTTGGGTGTCTTTATGTATGTGATTATAATTAACCATCAATTTAGTTTTCATATTAACTTCCAATAACATAACATTACGCCTTTTATGCCAGTGTACAATGTAACACCCACTTTTCACTATTTATGTTATAAGTCTCATGTAATAGGGGGTGAGCTTATTGCCATATACCGGTCACATTTCCAGACTCCGTGCTACTACTGAGATTTTTTAAAACCCAGTAATACTTTGCCCGACCCGGGAATCGAACCCGAGACCTCTTGCCCGGCAATCGCAATTGCGTCCACTCGGCCAACGAGGCAGTCAATATACATTACAGTTAACTTCCATTATACATTCTGATATGCTACGCATGCCTTTTAGTCCTCGAACGGGTAGGCTGGCAAGTCTTTTTTTTTAATAAGACAAGCCCGCCACAACCTCCCAAAACCGCTGCAACTCCTGTAAGCCAGGATCTACAGTAGATACAACCAGGAAAACACCGGAACACTGAAGTCCGGCGCGTCCCAGGGACATGAGTAACTGTCTTGGTTCCCGCAACGAATTAAATCAGAAGATATTATAAGAGGAGAAGAAAAAAAACTATAGTTTCTACTTCCCTCGGTGAATTACTGCAGGAGACAGAATGAATTAAGCTTAAAGGCACAAAGAAGAGACTGTACAACTGGGTGAAGCCCAGTCGCCAAGCACCACGGAAAGAATAAAAACTAAGTGGGTCCTATGTGTGAGCTGTTATACTTGCTTCCAATAATAGGTATGGCAAAAGCACCTAAACGCACGGAAACTCGTTCTAAATTCCACAAGGTCCGTATAATAAGCTATACTTTATCGAATTGCTGCAGGAGACAGTAACTGGGAGATGCCCAGTCGCCCAGGCAGACAAGTCTGTGGTATTTTGACGTCTAATCGTATTATGTTTTGTTTAATTTACAGATAGTGGGTAACGCATCAGTGGCCAGAGAGCTTTGCTTCACCGGTAGAAACTTCGACGCTAAGGAGGCGAAAGAAATCGGTCTAGTCAGCGAAATTTTCCCTGATAAAGAAACGTGAGTAAATAATATTAATTGTAATCTTTTATACAACAATATAATCGAAATGAAACGAGAAAAGTGAAATCTCTTTCGTTTTCGTCCCGAAGTAAAATGGTTCTGTCTCGGTAATACAATAGAGGTAGTTTTACAAAGAAATAAAAGGTTTAAAACAAAAAATAACTAGTGAAACAATACAAAAAGCGAACTTCGAAAGCGCATACGAACTCATAGTATTGTACATTATCAAAACATCACGCCATGTAATAGGCGTGTCGACAGGGTAAAAAAATCAAAAAAGTAATTAGTCCGTCATTAAGATCGCACGAAAATATCAGACACGTATTTTTTGTTTTATCAAATTAACAGAAGAATACGTAGTTATTCCGCATTAAAGTTAGGGAGTGGGGGGTGTTGACGTCACACTTACGGAGAAATCGTACCTAAGTGTGACGTCACGCGTCATTTTAACTCAAAATATCTACGTGTTTTTTGGATACGAGAAAAAAGAAAAAATACGTATCGAAGATTTTTAAAATATCTAAAAGACGGACAAAAAATTAAAAAATAGTCGCCATGCCTATTCTCGAAGAGATATTTCTCGTCAGGTGACACGTGCGATGCGAATAGTGACTTCAAATTTACGTCTAGTGTTTCATGTGCGTATTTTCATGATCAATTAATTTAAACTAAGTTAATACATTTTTGACGTGACAACGTCTTAAATTAGGTTGCGGCTGGGAGTCACTTATGAAAAAGTGTAACGCTCGGTAACGTTACGATGAGTCACCGAACGAGAGAGAGGCCCGCCGAATGCCTTGCGTCTCTCTCCCACTCAACTATGATCGGTCTGCCGCGCGCGCAGCACTAGAGAATTAGGCGCATTGAATCGGCACATGCTTGTGTCTCTGTCTTTGTCTTTCTCGAACGTTCTTGGCGTTGGAAAAACAAGAAAGCGTCATAATACAAGTTCACACGTGTGGTTAAAGTATCGTCAGCTGTGTCTATAGTGAAAATGTGGAGTGCTTAGATTCGTCATTTACAACAACTACAACAATAAAGGTAAATAATTGTACACTGATATTTCATTATCGTAAACTATGATTGATTGATTAATTGTTAGATTGACACAAAAGTTGAGAAACTGAGTTTATGTTGTCACGTAAAATCTTCGCCCGTAAAAACGACTTTACAGGCAACCATTTTTATTTTTTGTTTTTCCTTTATACATCGTAAGTACTCGTTATGGCAAGTTCTTTTGCCGCGGGACGCAAACGAAATAGATTTCACGGTGTATGGTGCAACAAAAGTGTTGAGTAACGACATTACATACAATATGTATGTATAAATAGGTACTTATTTATATTTATTTTATATGTTTTTATTGTATTATTTTGGTTAATCTAATTTTAATTATCAGTTTAAGTTTTCATTGTCTTCTTCTTGTTTGTTTTTTTTTTTGTTGTTACACACTGTGTCATATGTCGTATTTATTTCTCCTTTCGCAGGGCTGCAGGAAGAAATCCCATAAGGGATATGCAGTACTTATGTACCTCTGTTTTGTTATTATATATATTTTTTTCTGTGTATTGTCTGTGTTGTGTACATGAACAAATAAATAAATAAATATCTATTAATATTGTACTTAAAGCAGAGGTGCACATTACAGCACTTAATACCACTGTACAATGTAACACCCACTTTTCAGTATTTATGTTATGAGTCCCATGTAATAGGGGGTGAGCCTATTGCCATATACCGGGCACAATTGTGATGATGACAGGGTATGAAAATTAAAAATCTAATTAGTCCGTAAGTTAGGTAATGAAAAAATATTAGACACGTATTTTTTTATTATGTTTTATAATAAAACAATAATTAGATAAAACGAATCAAAGTTTAGGTGTGGGGGCTAAAACGTTATTTCTACGTATAAAATGTACAGAGAAGTGACGTTCACGCGACATTTCAAATTAACATATCGTCGAAAGTATTCGTTTCTGTAAGAAAATAAAAAATAAGTGTCTAATGATTTAAAATAATCTACCAGACGGATATTAAAATGAAAATTAGGCATTACCCTATTCCAGTCTCCGTGCTACTACTGAGATTTTTTTTAAAACCCATTAAATCTTTCCCCGGATACAAACCCGGGAATAATTATGATGATCATAAAATATAATAATCTGTTACAGTGCCCTGACGAAAGTGCTAGAGATAGCTGAAAACATAGCGGCCAAGAGTCCCGTCGCGGTGCAGACCACTAAGATCAACCTCGTCTACTCACAGAGTAGACCTAATAAGGACGGGTTGGAACATGTTGTGAGTATTATTTATTTGTTATGTTTGTATCGTAAGGAGGATGAGCAGAAATGTATAATTGTTTACTAAGTAACACCCACTTTTCATTGATCAATTTACGAATTTGAGATATAGGTTTTTTTTATAAATCAACGTTGCCCCACACTAGGATTTTCTCCTGTATCGTGGGTGCGTTTACAAACATACAATATCACATACACATGACACCCAGACCCGGAACAACAATCTGTGGATCACACAAAGTGTTGTTCCGTGCGGGAATCGAACCCGCGACACGTTGCGCGGCAGCCGGTTGCCCAGCCACCAACCGTGCAGTCAAAGTGTAGGTATGAGTAAAGTGTAGCTTATTATACGGACCTTGTGGAACCTAGAAGTCCGTGTTTAGGCATTTTTGCCATACCTATTATTGGAAACAAGATGAGGTATGAGTAAATTGGTAGTTTTTCCCAAACTAATTAAACCAAAACTCTCGACACGGCAGAATTTTGAAGCTGTACTAACTTCTAACATACTGAGAAGTTTTGAAAAAGCGAAAATGTCTCAACATTACTTTGCGTAACCGAGTAATCTAACCAGCAGCTGTAGCCAAATGCCATTTAGCGTTTGTCTACATGTAGAATAGAAAACCAAATTATATGTGATTGACGTAAATTTTGACAATTGTCAGTGTCATCCCCATACATTTTGATTTCTACTCTCTCTGTAGACAAGCGCTAAAGTGGCGTTTTGCTAAAGGCCCTAAGAGCTTTACCGCTTGCAGTCAGTCTGTTGGTGTCAGTCAAATGTGCAGGCCCTTAATCTGGTCTTATGATACCCGTGGAAAGAGTGGGAGTGGTTAATAGTCAAAGTCAAAATCATTTATTTCAATTAGACCAGGAAGGCACTTTAACATAATATTCAAAGTGAAGCTATTTGCTTATTCCAAGGTGTAGATTCCTATGGAGAAGAACGAGCAAGAATCTCCATAGGTTACTCTCTTTCAATCGGGTTTATAATACAATGCTCTAGTTACATAGTTTTGTTGGTTCATAATCAGTGAATGATAAATAATAATTTATTATACTCCGTAGTCACAACAGAATTTACGTAAGACCTCGGAACCACACAATCATGTTTTCGGCTTACTCTCATAACTGTTTGACGAGCAACACGACTAGTTTCAAGCCAAGTTAGAGGCTCATATTCATGAGCAGCATTGCGCGACCTGCGATGCAGCGACTGTCGTGAGGCGCCGCGTAATTAATTAATACGTCTATCACCAGTTTTAATATAAATATCGTTTTAATTATAATATTTTTTGTTACAGCGTCTCCTAAACTCAGTGATGAACCAAGGCGAAGATTTGACAAAGGCCGCTATAGCTCAAGCCACCAAGAGCCCCGTACCAGAGTTCGATAATGTTTAAACTAAAAAGAATTGGGTAATTTCCAGGGTAGCAAAATTAAAAAACTAATTGGTCCATCAGTTAGATAATGAAAAAATATTAGACACGTATTTTTTTTTATTTTCTCGTATTAAGGTGCAATAGTTAGATAAATTGGCGTTAAAGTTTAGGTCTGGAAGGTTGTTACGTCATAACGTGCTACAAAATATGACACGCTGTGACGTCACACGATATTTCAAATTAATATATCGTCGAAAGTATTTAATTTTGTGAGAAAAGAAAAAATACGTGTCTAATGTTTTAAATTAATGTACCAGACGGACATTAAAATAAAGTTTAGGAAACTACCCTATTCTGGTACAGGGTTCTCTCCCTGTCCTTCTGGACGTACTACTATCGGATAAGGATATTATGTATCGGTACATCTGAACTTTATAACTACTCTTCTACAGCTCACACATAGGACCCACTTAGTTTTTAGTCTTCCGTGGTGCTTGGCGACTGGGCTTCACCCAGTTGTACAGTCTCTTTTTGTGCCTTTAAGCTTAATTCATTCTGTCTCCTACAGTAATTCACCGAGGGAAGTGGAAACTATCGTATTTTTCTTCTCCTCTTATAATATCTTCTGATTCACTTCGTTGCGGGAACCAAGACAGTTACTCATGTCCCTGGGACGCGCCGGACTTCAGTGTTCCGGTGTTTTCATGGTTGTATCTACTGTAGATCCTGGCTTACAGGAGTTGCAGCGGTTTCGGGAGGTTATGGCGAGCTTGTCCCAATTAAAAAAACTACTTTTCTACGTCTGTACCTCTACAATCTATATATATAAAAGAAAGTCGTGTTAGTTACACTATTTATAACTCAAGAACGGCTTTGGATTCGGATTTGGATGAAAATTGGTAGGGAGGTAGCTTAGAACCAGGAGACGGAGATAGGGTACTTTTTATCCAATACTTTTTTTTTACTTTTAACCGAAAATCAAGAACGGCTACGGGAAATATCATTTGTAACGCCTCTGGTGTTCCAGGTGTCCATGGGCGACGTCGATTGCTTACCATCAGGTGATCCGTCTGCTCGTTTACCGGCTTATGCCATAAAAAAAATAGTTACTTTACTACATAAAGTATTCCATTAAAAAATGTCAGTGGCTTTGTATGTGTGCGTGTGTACTGAGTTACCACGTTAATACACTTAAGGAAATAATAGATGTCCTTTGTGTCAATGTGTTTACGTTCTGCGGGTAACTCTACAGGATGGAATTTTGTAATACCACCTGAAGAAGTACCTAAGTATAAGATAAGGACCTACTCAGTGACTGTCCAGCTTTTTCTTAATATTATTTGGTTAACTTCATTACTTAGATTGATTTTATAAACCTACCTCACTCAAAATATGAGTAGGTATCTTATGTCCAGCAATAAATTGTCTCGAGATTCTACTCTTTACTATAATAAAATAAGGTACAAAGTGCATTATAATTGTATTTTATATATTAAGTTACATATTTTTGAAATGTATTCCTTGTTGTTAACTTTTATATTAAAGTATTATACAATAAAATGTTTATTTATATTATGCTTGTTTTATTAAATTAATCGCTGAATGTGTTGCTAACTTGTTAAGCGCAAATCTCTGAAACAGCTGAACCGATTTGGGTCGATGTGGCCCGAAAATGTCGTGGTGGCCCGGAGGTTTAAGACGCCCACTTCTCATGCATGAGGGTGCGGGTTCGAAACCTACCAACGGCAAGTACCAATGTGACTTTTTCCGAGTTATATGTACTTTCTAAGATTATTTAGACACCACTGACAAACGGTGAAGGAAAAACATCGTGAGGAAACCTGGACTTATAATTTCTAATTATAAGTTTGAAATCGCCAACCCGCATTGAGCAAGCGTGGTGATTAACGCTCTAACCTTCTCCGTGTGAGAAGAGGCTTTGCTCAGCAGTGGGCATTTATAGGCTGTTGATGATGATGATTTGGGTAATACTTCTTTTGTTAAAAGATGGTTCAAGAAAATTTTCTAAGACAAAACTATATTCGCGAGGTCCGCTAGTATTTAAATAAAATCCATACATTGAAAATAACAATAAACGAGTCAAGAACCGAATTGAAAAGCATATATTTTTTTTATATGTTGACTGGTAGAGAATGCCATATGGCATTAAGTTCGCCTTATGTACCATAAACAAATTATGTACATTAAAGAATAAATAAATAAAAAATATTTTGATCATAATCACGACTTTTTAATCCTTGATCTGAACCAGAAATCTGCGTGCATATTTATAACATACGTGTAAATATATAACATAACATAACATAACATCACGCCTTTTTACCCCCGAAGGGGTAGGCAGAGGTGCACATAACGGCCCTTAATGCCACTGAACAATATAACACCCACTTTTCACTATTTATGTTGAGTCCCATGTAATAGGGGGTGAGCCTATTGCCATATACCGGACACATTTCCATATTCCAGGCTACTACTGAGATTTTTATAAAAAGAAAACCCAGTAATTCTTTGCTCGACCCGGGAATCGAACCCGAGACCCATTGCCCTACAGTCGCACTTAACCACTCATAGGATAACAGGATAACATCTAAGAATTTTCTCTCACCCTTAAAGTAGAGGCTACTGGGAACAATCTATTGGTTCCAGCATTGCATCGCATCGACGTCATAACGTGACGTCAGTGGGGGTCAGGTCATTGACTCCAATAGGTTACGTATTTTATTTAGGTCAACATAATGCTGCGAATTTTCGAATAAAGAATCACATGCATCCAATGCGATTGCGATCTAAATGCTATTTATTTAGAATTTAGTTAAAAGTTCTAACATTAGTTAGGCAAGCCTGTTATCGAAGTCGCGGAGACCTTAACGGGTTACCGGGGCTCCGGCTCGAAGTGCAGGAGAAGGAATGGGGTGGTTTTTAGTCAGTAAGAGTCTGACACTACCTCCCGCCTCACCCAGACGGGTGCAGTCATTCGATGATTTTCCCCCCTTAAAAAAAAGTATAATTGTAGGCAGGTAGGTAAGTACCTACTCTATAATAATTATAAATTAGCTTTAACTCGTGGCTTTGCCCGCGTATTCCTATTTTATCCATGGGAGCATTTAATCGGTATAAAAACCTATCACCTAAGTCAGCCCGTACCCTTCTGTATACCAAATTTCATCAATCTCAGTTCAGTAGTTTCAGCGTGATTGACGGACAAACATCCGAACAAAGAAATTGTCACACATTTTATAATATCAGTGTGATTTTAGCCGTCATGCCCCACTGTCGGGTATGTATCTATCTCCATGACAATATTAATAGGTTATTCAAATATTTCTGATAATCGTATAATCCCACAATATTTTATCGAAAATCCAAGAAATGAACCCAAACACCGCGTTTGACAGTCGTTTTTACGACCTCTCGACAAATGAAGCAGTTCATCCATCCATACACCAACCCATACCTATAATATATCCATTTATTATGTTATTTAAACACTTCATTACGTATTTACTAAGTAATTTTTAAAAAACATTCATTCAATTTTCGCAATTATAATAAGTGGTCTTTACCGCGCCAAGACTTAAACGTTTCCATCATTTCACAAAAAAGACATTTAAACAAAATCAATATTTAATTTTATAAGAACACGGTAGCAAATACATAAGTAGGTATTAAAAAAAATGCACCTCTGCACTTACCGTGCGAGTAAATACCTACATAAGCACCAAGACGATTTTGGGTCAAGAAAGACGCCAAGGCAAAAATAAGGGCGGCAACAAACGAAAAAACACCTCAACTTTTTTTCTTAAACTTGTCAAATAACAAGTTTGAATTTGGAAAAATAAATTAAAAGTGGGACATAAAGCTACTTTCGATGCGTTTTCATGAATTTCCTTTGTTCTCTACACACGATCGACTGAATTTCACCTTGGTCGGCGAACGCCATTGATAAATCCGACAAGTCGGGCAAATTGTCGACCCAACAGTTCGCCAACATCGAATACGTCATTCAAGCCTGCTGTCCTACTACCGGCTATCTGAATTTAGGTCACCTCGGAAAAAAAAACATGACAATATTTTTTTAACTAGCGTTTTCGGTGACAAAATTGGATTACATGAATATTGTTCGGTAAATTGGCTTCGAGGACATCCAATTATAACTAATTTAATTAGTAATATTAGGTAACTTAAGCTTAGACATTTTCTTATAGTAAGTCGTAGTGAGTGCCCCATTAGACAGGGTTAAAGGTTTTTGGAAACGTTAATAAAAAATATAATTTTTTACGTATTCTGATTGAAAAAGTAGTAGGTAACTATTAGGATAAACGAATGTTAAATTCAAATTCACCTTGAACTAAATAAATAATAATAAGCTGTTTCTTTGTTCCTAAATAACAGTAAAACAAAAGCAAAACAATTAATATATTACTCCTCCATTCTAATGGGATTTCATTTCATATATTCACACATTAAACCTATTAAAAAAAGTCATTAAATTCGATTTTAAAAGTAATTAAAAATTGTCACCGAACAAAAAGAATTCATCGAGCCAATCAAAAATCACTGCTTACGTCATGACAAACGCGAACTACGTCACTGCACCGGCTATTAACAAAGAAAATCAGGTAACCTACTTTACGGAGGCTGCATTTACGTTTGCTGCGAATGACCTGCCCAAATATAGAGCAGCTATAAATAGAACTTGGGGGCCCGTATGCAAGCGCCGCCTATGAATGGTGCAGGCAACCTGCATGTAGGGCACGTTGCAATGATTTGACCTATTTATTTTTCAATGGGTCGGGTGCATGAACGGGGATGGGCCCATTGCGAGGCTCGCTTCATTCAGTAACAGTCGAACCCTCGAGGCCGGCGTGACCTACTTCCGCTCTCCGCTAGCGAGCCGCAAATATTGCGATTTTCGATCAGAATACAGTGAAATAAGTGATTAGTGTGTGCTTTTCAGTGAAATTTTGGAAAAAAAAATTGTGCGTTTCGAAAATTGAGAACCTTAGAGCAAGGGTACAAAGAAATTAATGCCGGCAGCCTAATATTTTAAAAATCCCGCTGTTCAGTTTTCTTCGCCCTGACGGGGGTGTTACTGGTGGACATTGAGTGTCAAGCTACGTCATTGGCGGAAAAGTGACAGAGTATCGCCTGGACCAATCGGGAGCTTGGATACCAAAGTTGTGCGCGACTGAGACGCCACCTGTCGCGTGAACACGCCGCGTTCATTGAATAACCCGCCCGGACTGTTTTATTGACGCAAGCGCACTGAGGCCCAACAAAGGGCCGAAATAAGAACGGTTCGCAAGTGAATCTGATGTATTTATGTCATAAAAATGGTGAAATCTGTGAAGTGGCGAGTAGAAATTAGGATATTCGACGTGTCGAATCATGACCGAGGCATCTGAAAAGTAAGTGGTGTATCTGTAACTCAGTTTTTGTGATTCGTGCTCCGCCGTGTTCTGGCTAGGTAGGGCTCTACCCCGGCCATTTTCCATAGCTCATGGAATGTGTGATGTGATTTATGGTGTTTTCTAAAGTTCTATGAGTAATTGGGAGGCTATATAATCTACAGGGATAGGTTTTGTGAGGTAAAGAGTATGTTAAATTGCAAACATGTTCGTGGCGACCGCCGCCCTTAAGTCAACCCTGTGTCCTCCAGTGTAGCTAGCTATAATCAATGAGTTCTCGTTCATTCACAATTAAAGTAGGTAACTCCTTTCGGGGTCATTTGAAGCTACTTCAATTCAAGCAAGCTGTATTGCTCAATGAATTGTCTTACATTATATCGACGGCACTATGAGTGTCGCGTATTTTTCGCGCAAAATAAAAACTGGCTGTATGAATGTTCGACAGTGCGATATGTAAAAAAAATTAAAACAATGTTTTTTTTAGTAACGCCTTTTTTCTGTGATGGAATTTACTGTAACATTTAATTTTAACTTAATTTGTGGATGTTCTTGTTATTCATGATAATGGATGAACAATGTTTTGAGTCTAATCAAAATCTTGTAGGCATTGACAAAAATTCTTTAGTCAACAAGCTTTTAAAATAATCTACTGAGTAAATACAATTTTATCTTTATTGATCTTATTGAGTAATTTTCAAACAATAAATTCCACTATATTTACTACATCCACACACTTTAGATGTAAGCTGTCACTAAATTGGTGTGAAATTTCATTCTTATTTTACATAAAATTTAATTAAAAAAAAACCTATTTTCTTAATTTTAACCATTTCTTTATTTTATTTCAATGTTAAATTGATTATCAACATGATCAAGAAAATAGCTTTTGTTTTACTAACAATGTCTTAGACATTTGAATCAAGAACACACCCTATTTTTTTAATATATTTAAAAAGAGTTCAGTTTTAGAGGTTTATTATGAATTTATGGTTGACAGTAATTTCACATTCTGCCAATTATGTGAACTTTCATATTAATGAAATTATATTTATAGGTATTTAGTTTGTTTAAGCTTTTTAAATTAGAAAAATCATGTATTAAAATGCAGCTTACAATATTAGAATATCTTATAAAAGCACATAATATAGATATTATGTGGTTAGAACAAAAATAAGTGTTTAGTTACATATCTGTTACAAATGTTCATTCATTGGAACTCCATGGTTACCATAATCAAGTAAATAAAATAATTATTTTTACACAACAAAAGTACTTGAGTACAAATTCCTTTTAATAAATGAAACACTTATAGAACATAGGTACAATATACCAATAGATGTTGTTTTCTCTATCAAGTCTATTTAACCCATATTGACCTACTGTACCAAATATGGTACAGTAAGTTTATAAAAATATTTTGGCCTACCTACAAATTAATATTATATTGTTTTAAACTGTCAAATACCAAGCGGTCACCGGTGACCGCAACCTATTGTTCTATAATTGTGTCTGCAAAACTGGTACTCGACGAGTTAATTGTAACAATTAGCTCAGAGTGTTACTTTTACATTAACAACAATACAACAGTATTTTTATTCAAATTTCGTTGAAAATTTTATTGAAGACACCCAGCGGGGACTATAGGAAATATATACAATAACTTCGAAAAGGTAAGTTCCATATTATTTATTGTAAATAATATTATTTTTCGTTACTGTTTTGCAGAGTAGGTCTAAAGAAATATTATACATGTAAACAATTTTCGGTAAGGTTAGTTTAGTAAGATATATTTGGTCGTAAAGAAGGTGTACCGCATATGGTACAGTAGGTTTATGTAACATCAACATCTTCTTGTACCTACTATCTGGTATACTAATAGATAACTATATCTAAACCTGATTTTATTTTATTTTTATTTCAGACCACTGACACTGCACGAAATTGCAATAGTTCTTGAAGAAGATGATGATATGAGTAATCAGGGAAGAGATATTTTTTTACTACCAGCACTATACTGACAGTATCCCTGCCCACGAGGATCGAACTGATGAAGACTCGTGTGGAAGATAACATCGACATAAATAATTTACCTGTTGAGACACATAGAAGAAAAAAAAGGAAAGAGGCTTCTACGATTATCGCGTCTCTGATGATGTAATAATTTGTAGGTGGCACGATAATAGCATGGTTTCAGTGTGTTCCAATGCAGTTGGCATAAATCCTGTACACAAAACTGAATGCTATTCGCAGGAACAAAAAAATAAAATGTCTATACCTTATCCCGGAATGTTTTAATATGTATCACACAAAAAAATAAATAAATTCGCTAATTGGAAAATCTTGTATATTTGTATGCATATAGTCCTACTGTACCCGATATGGTACACCCCCCCTACGTCTCCCCAGTAATTGTATATTTTTTCTAATATTTTTTTATTGTTGTTAATGAATATAAGTTATGTTATGTTATGTCTCTTAATGAATATAAGTTAAAATAACTAAAATTTTTCACGAAAATAATTATCGGTCTAAATGGGTTAATACATATAAGTCCTGTATGGTTTTGATTTGATAGTTTACTCCTGATTCTGGTTAATTTTTATTTAGCAAAATGTCAAACTGAATCTGAAATTATTTAGGGCCTATTTTCAACCATCAGTTAATTCTTAACTATAGTATAAAATTGATATTTGACAGTTTTTAGTATGCAAGAATTGTCAAATATTCAAAGTTATTGTTCGGTTAAAATTTTGTAGTGTTGGAAAAATCGGCCCTTATTTATTTAACAACTTTGGAAGACTAACAGCTACCAAAACCAAAAAGCACAGCCAATAAGAAATATACACTTATAAAAAATAAACTTGTCTATAATACAATGTGGTCAAGGCAGTACTCACTCATACATACATAACATCACGCCTATTATCCCCGAAGCGGTAGGCAGAGGTGCACACAGAAGTAACACCCACTTTTCACTATTTATGTTATGAGTCCCATGTAGGTGGGGGTGAGCCTATTGCCATTTACCGGGCACAATTCCAGACTCCGTGCTACTACTGAGATTTTTTTTTTTAAAACCCAGTAATACTTTGCCCGACCCGGGAATCGAACCCGAGACCCCTTGCCCGGCAGTCGCACTTGCGACCACTCGGCCAACGAGACAGCCAATGATTGTAAGAGATTTAATCAATTAATTTATCTGTTGTGGTGGCCCGGAGGTTTAAGACGCCCGCTTCTCATGCATGAGGGTGTGGGCTCGAAACCTACCAACGGCAAGTATCAATATGACTTTTCCTGACTTATATGTACCTCTACTATCTAAGATTATCTAGACATCACTGACAAACGGTGAAGATGAATAAACTTGGGATTATAATTTCTAATTAAAAGTTTGAAATCGCCAACCCGCATTGAGAGGCGTGGTGATTAATGCTCAAACTTTATC